TGTCTGGCATATTTCTTAAGAATTATGGTAACATTCCATGAATATCGACGGAAACCAAGAGCATTCGCATAGAACAATGTCGAATTATTCTCTTCTTGTTCATCTCCAGAATGTTTGTAGTTGCATTTCAGGCAGGTCTTAAGATTCCTATCGTTTAATTCCAGAACCAAAAGCCTACATTAGTTGGCAATCTCTCAATTACTACGGAATCTGTTCATGGAATTATCCACATAGATATGCGTTTTTATGAAAGGGATAGAAGTCAGGTCATCTCATTGTTGATAACTAATTGACCCCAAACGCACTGAATTCCTGGAAATCCAAGCCACCTATGAAGCTATTGTACTTAGAAATCAGGATAATAATAAAATCATGGAAGAGATGATCTTCTTTGATTCCTCATTGGTATATACTATTTTGAATATCTGTTGTGGAATGATCTCTGAGAGATCAGTCACCTATATCTTGTCAGTTTTCGACATCAAAGATCAACTGTTACCCAGTTAAGGCGAACTTCATTAGCAAAACATAGAGAATCTCTAGCTGTAGCGTTAGATATATTGAAAGCATTCGACCGTGTTTGGCACCAAGGACTTCTCCACAGCCTACCATCATGCGGCTTATCACCTCAGCTATGCCTTTTTGTGAGGTGGGCAGAGTTACGTTTGATACCAAAGCCAAGAATGCCTTGCAAGGATCAATTACTATCATTGTCCCTACTCCATATCGATGATCTGATGGGAGTAGCCGCCTGTTCACAGCTTTGCAGAAGATAGTACCCTCCATACTGGGTTCTTTTCCAGAATGTCTATTTCATCCTAGGATCTACTGAGAATTCACGACGCCGGCAGGTCAACGCTGTCATAGAAAATCTTGCTAGAATTGCAGTTTGGGGAACCAACAACCTAGTTGAATTCAACGCCACCACAACACAAAATGTACTTCACACCCAAACAGCTTTTTATGATTTACATAGCACAGTTTTTGTTTTAGAATACTGTTCGGCACGCAATCATATGCTGATGCTCTTTTATTCTATCCAGGAAAGAGCCATCCTTCTGATGGACGGGAAATGATCTTCAGAGATCTCAGCGATTATTCCATCACAAGCAATACCAATCATTTCAACAGGCCCAGTCAGGACATGCTCTCGTTGTCAACTTCGAATTATAGTGAACAACACTTTAACCGAACTTGTTCGTCTATAGAACGTCAGAGGAATTCTTTGCCAATGGAAGTGTCCCAAGAAGTTATAACCTCCAGAAGATCGAGAAAACATTTCGAAACCTACCTCCTAACATTATAGGGATTATTTTTTTTGCGCTTCAAGAGATAGGAAAAACAAGTCTGTTTTTTCTCTATAAATGCCGAACTCTGTTCAGCTACTTCTTTCTTATGATGGGAAAATCTGTAATTAGAAATGAAAATGAACCGATTATCTGAGTGACTGTTAGTCTCAAGTTATATCTTCATCCCCCGATATATTCTCTTGATTCTCCTCATAATATTTCTTGAAATGGAGTATATAAATCATTAGCTATAAAATCATCCTAAAATCCAAGACACATCATGAACGCCCTAATTGTATATAATCGCGGTTTTGATTGAAAATTACATCCAACGAAACCATAAAGTAATTAATTGGGTTCCTGTCCCCGGAGTACCCGACCAATGAGGAAATTTTACTCAGTTAATCTCTATAGCTCAATTTCGACCTTCTCCAAATAATTTTGGAACAATCTTAAATTTCAAATCGGAAATCTAATATAACAAGATTATAAATCCCTGCTTAAGTTTTGCCATTCAATTTGAAAAGATAAATAGAAGGCTGTGTATTTGTGTACCCAGATTGAAAATAAATTCCCATAAAAAATAACGACTGTGATTTGGATAAGAAATTCAGAAATATTTTTCGTGATATGGTTCCGCATATGACTTCATTGAAAACATCGTTTCCAGATATATAGGAATGCCATACAGCAGGACAAATTCGATTGATTCGAGTGAATGAAATTCTTGTATACAAATCCCTCTCAGATATTCTTGACACGACTCTGAAAAATGCTTTATATCTCAGACACAATATCTGGCGATAGAATCAATTTATCAGTTTCAAATATTATAGAAATGTCAAACTAAGATATAAGCCATAAAAGAAAAATTGGTTTCCGTTTTTAATAAGAAACAATCTGAAAGAGGGTGAGCACAATGATATAAAACTTCCATTTTACAGTTCATGTTAATTTTATATTTACGGCATTTTTACTGCTATTGAATTTCGGTCTATATAAACAGGACATTGGAAAGAAAAAATATCCCGACCATAAGGTTTACGACCTGGAAATTGTATAGGGAGAAGAATGATTCATGAGTCTATAAAAAAATCATAATAATAATCGACAAATTGCAAGGAGTTAATTACCAACTGATAAACTAGGTAATTCTGTTGCGCATTTTGGAACGTAATCCCAATAGCTATTTATATGTCAAGGGAGAAAAGGTATGCATTTCCTCCCGCGAGTGAAGTTTGATGCACCAGTTTTGCACCCGCACTAAGTTAGTTCTCTCCAAAATGTGAACTAGTGCATCCCCAATGATTGCCACTAACAATTTTGCTTACAAACTATATACCGGGTGACACAGGAGACATGTAGCAGCCTGTAGTTTTTTTATTTGAAGAGATAAAATTTTGACATTCACAGGGGGTATATAATAACTGGTAGCGCACTTTACGAACTCAACGACAATTTTTTTCAACCACCTGTTCGACCATCAGTGACCCCAACTTTTATTTTTTTAATGTCACTCTGTACATTTCTTCAGTCTATCTTTTTTGCCTTGAAATTCTCTATCCAACCATGTATCAAAAAGTGGCATCTATTTCTTAATTCGCTGTTGAATCGCTTTTTATTCAAAAAGAAAAAGTTGGCTGTGAAATGAATTCGATGATATATTGACACTTGGTAGGCTTTGAAATTTAAAGATCATTAGTGAACCGATATTATTCGAAATGTTTTGATATTCTGATCAATGTCTGCAGGTTGTCAATAGCTTGTTTGAGTCAAGATGAAAACCTTCGGGAATAACTCATGATATTGAGGAATCTAAGATAGAAACATATTTTCTCGAATTCAGCTACTCGTACAGAAACTATCTGTCTTTTATTTTCGCCATCATGTACCTATCACAGCATGATCTTCCCATTTGGAATAATAAAACTGAAATTTTTCCTCTCATACGATGATCCACAGGGCTGTCAGTCTATTTTTTCATAATTATTTCACTTAGTAGGCGGTGTACTACACAAAATGTTTTATGTGTTTGACAGTTAATCGATTGCATCAATAATTTTTCTTCTTCATTTGTGTGTTGATTAAAATTGCATATTATCAACGACGGAAAAGGTATTCAAGGAACGAAAAAGTCGATATGTTGTTAATATGCAATTTTAATCAACATACAAAAATGAAGAAGCAAAATTATTGATGCAATCGATTAACTGTCAAACACATAAAACATTCTGTGTAGGTACACCGCCTACTAAGTGAAATAATTATGAAAAAATAGACTGATAGCCCTGTGGATTATCTTATAAGAGGAATAATTTTAGTTTTATCATTCCAAATGGGAAGATCATGTGATAGGTACAAGGCGAAAATAAAAGACAGATAGTTTCTGTACGAGTAGCTGAATTCGAAAAAATAATTATGTTCCTTTCTTAGATTCCTCAATATCATGAGTTATTTTCGGGGGTTTTCATCTTGACTCAAACAAGCTATTGACAACCTGCAGACATTGATCAGAATATTAAAACATTTTGAAAAATATCGGTTTATTAATGATATTTGAATTTCAAAGCCTACCAAGTGTCGATATATCATCGAATGTCACAGCCAACTTATTCTTTTTGAATAGAAAAGCAATTCAACAGCGAATTAAGAAATAAATGCCACTTTGTGATACATGGTTGGATAGAGAATTTCAAGGCAAAAAAGATAGACTGAAGAAATGTACAGAGTGACTTCAAAAAAAAAAAGTTGGGGTCACTTCCGGTCAAACAGGTGGTTGAAAAAAATTGTCGTTAAGTTCGTAAAGTGCGCTACCATTTATTATATGCCCCCTGTGAATTTCAAAATTTTATCTCTCCAAATAAAAAAACTACAGGCTGCTACATGTCTCCTGTGTCACCCGGTATATTCAATGATTCCGCCATTTTCAAAACTGCACTGTTGAATTGTTGCACTGAGCTCTGAACTATGTGAACCAGTTTTCCAATGGAATACAAATCCCGACACCAGTTTTACCAATGGAATACAAAATATGCACTCAGTGGGAGCCAGTTTTACCAATGGAATTCGCTCATAGTATGCCATGGACAATTAATGGCTTCTTTTTTCTTGGATGCTGGTCCTGTCACCAGCTACACCTCAGCCTCCTGATGGGCTTGACGGAATTTGAACTGAAGTCAAATTAACACTGTCATCATGAATTAATCGATCTGTATATTGTGTAACTACATCTGGAAGTTTTGATTGGAAGCCAATTCACTTTACCTCTCACGGGAGTTAATTTTTTCTCCTCCTTCTACTTTTGATTCAGTGAGTCGATTGAAATGTTTTGTTCCTATTCTCATGATCGTTAACTTTTTTTCGAATTCCCGAATATAGCCCAATTTACACAGGATGAGTCAAGAGGCACACTCATATCACTTATAGATGCCCCTATGAAAGGAATACCAAATGACCACGCTGGAAAGAATCTTTGAATTTTCTGTGACATCAAACATATACATCATGATTTATGGATTTTCGTAAATTCTTCTTGACTCAACTTCTCAACAGTTGTTCGTGGAACATTATAATACTCCTAATCAACAACTTGAAGTATTCAGAATTCGAAAAATCCAGGACAGGTCTCGTAGAATCAGAATGTTGGAATTTCAGACACATATTACAATATTTGCTAATGAGGAGAAGTGACTGAATCATAATATTACTCACCTTTGGTGAGAACGGCTTGCAATAGTGTGCAAAAAAGGAGAGTTGCCTGCGTGGCTGTCATATTCAGAAGATGGCGGCAGGCTGAACGCCTATTTGAGGATCGCATCTTCGATTCTGGTGAAACCTTCACAAATCTGAAGCATACTTGGACCTGCAAACAAATCACTTACATCAATATCAGATATTCTTGATGACATCTGGGATTTTATTCCAATTCAACTACTCCTGTATTGTAATGAATCATGTCGATTTCTGTAAGGTAGCTATTCCAGTCCTCCTAATAAAACGTATGACTTCGATAACATCCTAAACCAATCTCATTCGAGTATACTGGGCGTCTGGAAAGCTCAAATTGTAAATGATAGGGCTGATAAAATAAGCCGAAATATTGTTAGTACCTCATATAAAAAATATGTCTTTCGCACTTTTGACCCTGGAAGTTTCTCCAAGTCCATACATGAGGCATGCTCATCATAACTAAACTTATCCATGGTTCACCATGGCAAATTACCACATCTCTCGTGGAGATCTGCCACTCGAGAGTATCTATCACCATCGGTGATAATACGGAGTACTTTATCCTGCAGAACACTGGACACGCGTTTGTCATCACTGGCCTGATGACCTGCTTGTATACCAGGACCATATTCTCCTGCGAGAGAGCTGAGGTCCTGGATATCGAGGGGTACATCTTTTTAATGGCATTCTGGGTTTTCTGGATGGGGTAGTTTGTGTTCTTTCTCAGACCCGTACGGGTGTCCAATTTGACTCCCAGGTATTTCACGGTGGTCGTGTCTGCCACCTCAACCCCTTTGACGGTCAAAGGTCTGCTCAGTCGAGAGTTGTTGACTTTTTTGTGGAAATTGATGATCTCAGTCTTTGCGCTGTTTATGCAGATCTTTGACTCATCAAAGTACGGCAGATATCGAACGGCTGGTGCCTTAACTGAGAAGCTAGGGCGATCCCTACTTTTTTTTTTGTTGCACTCATTTGAACTTTGAATGATGCAAGAGGGCATTAGGAAAAAGGTCAACTACTGTGAGGATATATTATATTGGAAGTCACTGGAGATCATTTGGAATTCGAATACATTCGTGTTGTACATTCACTCATTCAGAATTAGACAATGAATCATTAGAACACTCGATATCTCGAAGAGGTTTTGTTCAAATTCACAAAACTTCACACTGCTGGTGTAGTGTAGAATACAACTATCTCTACAATTATGCTCGACATAACCCTCCTTATCAACTATTAGAATATCTCCGAGGACACCGTCGTTTAATATAAAATACAAAAAAATCTCAGGATACCACGATTACATTGAAGAATACCTAAATACGTATATGGGTGACTTACTTGCCATCCTCAGATAAACTGTGAGGACAATGAAGATCAGCTGACCATGTTGTCTCTCGTTATATTCTCCAGAAAGGATGGCGAATTAGTTGCCGAAATACTTTCGTGGTATTTTGTATATTTGTTCATACTGTTGGTAACAGTGATAGTTGACTCTGAAATGCAATCAGCCTAAAATGATGAAGTGAACAAACTTGAATAGTCAAGATAAGTTCATATACATTAACCAAGCAAGAATATGCTTTTGCATTCCTTCAGTTTTGAAGTAATTGAACTACTGAACATTTGCTATTTTAGGTTAGTTATGAAGATTCCATCCCATTACTGCATTGAAACACTAGACCCATACCAGAGATATCGAACAAGAGTTAATCAATCCATGATTGAATGTTGATTAGAAATATTTGGAATTGACGGAACATTATTCAATAACGAGATGAAATGAATGATTGTATCATTGTTTCAAGTTATGGTTCACTGATAATATGGGTCATCATGAAACCAAACAATTCATGGTCATATAGAAATCATATTATACTGTTCAATAGGAATATACGATTTCACAGGGTGTTGTCTTCGAGAGACTTGCGCGTGTGATTCCAAACACTTTCTTAGGCCATCGAAACAATTTTGCAGTCGTGGGAATTGAACCCACAAACTTGCAAAACATCGTGAATAGATTACTGACGCTTCAACCACGCGGCTCACCTGGCCATGTCATAAAAAATTTAAAAAATAATCAATTCTTTGCAATGCGAACGTTTTCGAACATTTTCTTCCACAAAATATGTTCATTATGGGCGAATTCATTCGAAACTTGAAATTTCTACCGAAAACAAATTAGACTAGGGTTATCATATAAAGAAACTGTAATTTTCTCAAAATTCGAAAACGCGATGCTCAATTGTTTTTATTTTTCATTTGTCCATCTTATTGAAGAATGTTGAGATATGGTGCTGGTTTGCTAACACGAAGTTACCAATAATGGTGGACACTCGATTTGGATGACCATGTATAGTGACAGCATAAATGAAAACGGAGTGCGAGAGAGTAGAATTTCTTTCTACGAAATATGTCCAACGCCTGATGCAACAGCGAATTGTCCAATTCGGATTGGAAAAATGTTCTATTGATCAAAATTCCCTGGATATACATATACTATATGAAAATATTTATCGATAAGATGATAAAAATGTATTCTGTGTGGTTATAGGCGCTTCTCGTTCCTCTACACTTCATGAAGTGCCAAATTACCATACGAAGCTGCGCCGTATATAATATCTATATCGTTTCGATATCAAGGCTCTCCGGAAGAGTTATTGAGCTCAATTTGAAGCAAAAATTGGCATTGGTCATACATCATAGAAATAAATGAAAAATCAGCAAGGAATTCACTTCGTATCTCAACACAGAGTATAGGTATTCGTCGGGCACAGCGATATGCACGTTGAAGCTGCTGAAACCGGTTCCTCAAGCGTCCGAACGATTTCCAGAATAAATATCCTGATATCAGCCAATTCATGAAAGAAAAATAGACTTCGAACGGAATGCACATCGGACTGCAAAAGTCTGATATATATGTCGTAGATTAATTTTCATTCGAAATTCTATTATTTGTATTACTATCAATTGATAAGTGAGCAACCATTATGTATTGCATTTCGTTTTGTTTTTTTTTGTTGTACCTTCCTTGCTGTCTCTGCCAATTTTCTGTACTCATTTTGATTTTATAGGTATTTAACCTCCTGTTGGTTGAGTGGAATACCTTTGAGCTATATAAACTTGGGCAACAGTCTATGTAAGATATTTTTCAAGGCGTTTATTATTTTTCACTTTGTGATTATGTGCGATCACACCAGGTTGCTGGCCACTAAAATCAAATAATGTGATTCTTTACATCTACTCCATTCATGTGACTAATAAAGACTTGGGAGATATAACGAATTTTGTGACTGATCTTCTCGTCAAACATCAATGATTGTTTCAAGGACATAATTATATATCATTACAAGTCTTCTTTGATAAAGTGAAAGCTTTGAACTTCAGATCTATTCAGTTACACTCAATAAAGATGAGAAGACTGCTCAGAACACAAATAAATAATTGAAATCCTAGAATATGACGAAATGTAAGTAGTAGAATTCTCATTGAGATATCCCCGAATTTCCGACTCGTTTTATATGGGAGCATTCGGAGGAGAAAAAGGCTTCATTCATGAATCAGTTGAAATTGGATATTGGAGAATTAATATTTCGGGTTTTCTGAAGTATGAACATGCAGACCTTTATGTCTTGAATGAAATGGGCACGCCTACGTTAATCGTGCCAAATATTAATTTTGCCTTTCCCGGGAATATCCTACAATTACTGCAATATATTCATAGTCAGGGTCAGCTTGATCATAAATGAACATTAATTATTATACAATTTTAATTGATTGCTCATCAATGTTTTGTTCTTATTCTTGTCGTTATGTTTTCGTTCAATCTTTGTGTATCTCACAAGACTGAAAATAACAAACTCGTATGAGATTTGTTCTTATCAAAAAACGATTTCACTTAGTAATGGGATTTGAAGCTTTCGAAAAGAGAGCCTTTTCCCAAATCAATATGAGACTAGCTTTTTCAGACTCTCACATCATTGTTTATTTATTTGAGATGTCTTTCTTACAAACACGGCCAGGAGTATTTACATATAAAAGATAGTGCTTCAAAACACAAAGACTTGGAGCTAAATTAGAAAACTAAACTTGAAAATTGAATATTGAATACTGCTGATTTTATTTCTTTTGAATTACAGTTGAGAAAGTCAATATTGCACCTTTCTGCAAGTATATTACATAGTCGTAGCATTTCATTCATAGGACAACAATCTAGATGATATGTATGAAAAAAATGTCTTGTTTTTCATTGTTAAATCAACTTTAGGCACCAACATTATTCCTTCTTCATATCAATGATCTGTTGGGAGTAACAACTTGACCCATCCACAGCTTTGCAGATGATAGTACCCTCCATACTGCATTCTCTTCCAGAATTCCCATTTCTTCCCAGGAAACTAAGAACTCACGGCGCAGGCAGGTCAATGCTTTCAATGAAGACCTTGCTGAAATCACAGCTTGGGGAACCAACAACCTAGTTGAATTCAACGCCACCAAAATTCAAGCCTTTATTTTCTCTAGAAAGACGGAACTCAGTATGCCCGATATCGTAATGTCTGGAACCACCATCCCCACCATCATATCTATGCTCGGTATTTCCATCAGCAACACTCTTTCATGGAATAATCATGTCAGATCCATCCCAAAAGCTGCTTCACAAAAACTCGGATTCTTGTTCCGTGCGAAAAGCTACTTTACACCTCAACAGCTTCTCATGATCTACAAAGCGCAGATACGGCCTGTTCTAGAATACTGTTCCCACATATGGGGTTTAGCACCAAAATATACGCTGATGCTCTTAGATTCCATCCAGAGAAGAGCCATTCGCCTGGTGGGTGACGCCACACTCACTCACTCTCTGACATCATTGAAACACCGTAGAAAGGTCGGCGACCTTTCACTTTTCTATCAACACTTCCACGGGAAATGTTCTTCGGAAATCTCTGCTATCATCCCTTCACTAGCAATACCAGTCAGACGAACTAGACAAGCCCAGTTAGCACATCCTTTCGCTGTCAACCTCGAATGATGTCGAGCAGCACTTTATCAAAACTCCTTCATCCATAGAACGGCTAGGCTCTAGGATTCATTGCCTGAGGAAGTATTCCGAACAACATAATATAATCTCCAGAA